AGTGCACACAACACTGAAGCAATGCACAGTGTACCCACCAAGCAAAACATGGTTAAATCTTAAACATACTCTGCTGAGTGAAAGAAATCAGACTCAAAGATTACATATTGTATAATTCCATTTCTATGACTCTCTGGAAAAGACAAAAACTATAGGAATGGAGAACTGATCAGTGGTTGCCAGTGTTTAGGAGTGGGTAAAGAGTCTATGCATTTGTCAAAGCTCACGCAACAGTTCAGGGGCAAAAAGAAGAAAATAATTTTACTTCATACAAATTTAAAAATTAAAACATACATTTACCAAAAAAATGCAGATGAACCAAAGACATACATCTGAAAATCAAAGCTAAACTTTTACAAAACAAATGCATAGGAGAAAATCTTTATGACATTGTGGTTTTGATGATCCTAAAAGTCTAAAACATAAAAAAAAATAATTATAAATTTAATTATATTAAAATTAAAAATTTGTGCAAAAAAATAAGTTAAAAGGCAAGCTACACATTGGGAGAAGGTATTTTCAATCAAATGAAAGGCTTATATCCAAAATATACAAAAACAACTATAAATCAATAAGGAGATGTCAAAAAATCCAACAGAAAAAAATGAACAAAGAAAACAAGTAGGCGTTCACTGAAAAATGAAAGCAAAATGGTCACAAACATGAAAATATGTGCTATCCCACCAATCATATGTTAAATAAAATTTAAGGAAAGATACATTTTTACACCTTTAAAACTGACATCTGAAAATAAAAATTGTAGATCTACTAAATATGCAAGCCAAACTTTCAGACTTTCAGTGTAACTCAAGATTTCTCACATATATATAAAGTCATACAATGAAATATTATAGTAGTTAATTAAACTAGTGTTATGCATACCTATATCAATAAATTTAAAGAGCATAATACTGAGTGAAATAAGCAAGCACATAAAGATTATATCACACATAAGAATTCTCTTGGAGAGGAAGGAAAAAGAGAATTATTTGTGGATGAATACCTATGCAGATATACCATAAAACCATGAATGAAAGTCCTACACTTAAATTTCAGAATAGTTGTTACTCTGGAATATTATCAAAGTAAGGAGGAGGGACAGGGAAAGATGCATAAAGGATTCTAAATGTTTCTGTTGTTGTTGTCTTCTAATCGTAAGTAAATTTGGCAAAATGTTAAGATGTGTCAATGTTGAATGGAAGGCAAGGATTATATTATATTTTACAATAGAAATTTTTCAAAGAAAGATATCATACACACAAATGGATTTCCTGTCTTGTCTCTAATGCTTGTTATTCTCCACAATTGCGGTAAATATTATCTTTGCACCAGAGATACAAAATATAATTCTTGCATGCCAAGCAGTTTATAAGACCAATACGAAGGAAAAAAGAAAATATTTAATTCCAATCCTATTTATAGTTTTAACTTAATAGATTTTGAAAATTTTGTGTATGTTCGACAATGTTTACAATTTGCAAATAGAGCACGTACCACATATGTGGGGGGATAGTATAAGTTTTACAAATCGCTGGCTGGTCAAATATTTGGAGATTGCTGCAGTAGTTAGAGATTTTGCAGCTTCAGAGTACTTACGTATCACCTAAGGGTCCATTTAAAATGAAGTTCCCTGGACCCCACACTGGATGTTTCCATTTAGTCGGTTTGAGGTTAGGCCCTGAGCCCGCATTTCTAACAAGCACCTCAGATGATTCTGAGGCCAGTTTCAAGGGACTATATTTAGAAATCAAATGCTCTACAGCAACAGTCTCATAAACAAGTATCACGAGGAGGTGGCAGCTTAATTTCTTTAAATTTCTGCAGTAGAACAAGCTTTGTGCTTTCTATATGACTTCAATGACATAATGCCACATTAGGCCACCTATTTTCTATTTCTATTGACAGCAAAAGAAAAGGATACGGCTTTTAAGATAATTTCCAGACAAAGGTTTTTTTTTCTCTTTTTTTAACTGCAGAAAAAGATTTTTTTGACTGGGAACTTTGTACTCTGTGTATATTCTTTTCAAATATGCTCCCAAGCCCCATGTTTGGAAGGCACAATTGAAATTATCCTTACCTCTTCTGCACTTGGAAACCATTGTGAAATGCATGTCACTTGCTCCTCACTAAAGTTTCATGAGATACACACATCCTCATGCCATTTTACAGGTGTGAAAACAGTAACAGGTAACAAGAGACAGAGCAAGAACAGAGCTTCAGTTGACCCAATCTCAAGAACCTTACATGGCCACATGCTCCCCAGCCATTTTCCACAGACATGTGTCAGTGTTAGCACTGCTACTCTGTGAGCATTATCCCCACCGAAGTCCGTGTGGTGTGGAAATTCTGCAGAAATTTTAAATTTCCTGCAGAAGGAAGTCGCATATGCAAGGTTTAATTTTGCCACTACACTTTTAGACCTCTTGGCCATGCCTCAGTACAGAGCCTTCCAAATACTAAGGCAAAATTATTTTGGGGTGTGGGAATTGAGAGTCAAGATTTGGGGAACATAATCTTTCTCTGCATCATCAAATCAGCCTGTCTTGAGTCAGCTGGTTTGCTGACTGTGATATTCTTAGAGTTCAGTCTGCCCTGTGGGGTAATTCAGCCCTATACTTTTGAGTTTTCATTGCAGGGTCTCTAGAGAGGACTAAATCTATGCTCGTGAGCTTCTAATTATCACCATATGGGAATTCTGGGAACAGGAGATATGTTTATCACCAGGCATTATGGAGTTCTTAATCAGCAAGGTTTTAAAGCATTTGTAAATGTCTTGATAGAGCACTTTGGTAAAAGCTGAAGATATCATGATAAACAATACTTGATTTTAAAGAGTTTCTTTCAAAGTGTTGATCATATTAAGCCATAATCTAAAATCCCTAAATTCTTTAGTTGACACTACCTACAGCTACTCCTACCTAGTGAAGCAATTTGGACAGGGAACACCAAACAAATGCAAATAATATTATGCTAAATTGCTTTGTTATTTTTAAAAATACAGTATTGGCAAACCTCACTGACTGGTAGTTCTCCCTGTCATAAGGCTTTGCCTCTGTAGCCTCTTAAGATCTGGACTAAAAGTCAATGCTTTTTCCTATTCCCATATATAAAATTAATCATTTTATGATCCATGTTAAATGAATATTGTGTTTTGAATAAGATATAAGTCAGTGAGGTTTGCCATGATTATACATTTTTGAAAATATATTTCTTGGCACAAAAGAAGTTGGAGATCCCATCCAATAAATCAAGTTCTAAAGAATCGCACTAAATAAAAGAATTTGAGGGTAGACAAATGGAGTGCCCAGCTATTTGTCATTATATGTTCTTAAAGCTATGGAATAAAGCTATAGAAGTATGGGTATCATTGTCTTTAAACAAGTGGAGAGCTGTCTGCACAGAGATAGAATATGACTGCATAATTTCTTGGTCTTTGAAGGGAAAGAATCTTATCTTCACCATGAAGAATACGTGTATTTTTTTTTCAAATGTAATATATATGATAAGACATACAGTATTCTTTTTTTAAAGCTTAAGTCCCTCTGGGTCCCTTTTACTGAATTTCATGATATTATCACAGGCTGTTTTGGATTTGATCATTGGGAGAGAAGTTTCTACTGGCAAAGAAATATAGAATTTTAGAGCTAGGTCATTATGCTTTGTTTAAGCTGTTTTAAATCTGAGCTCTTTCTAGAGAAAAATGAATTTATTTGTTCTAAAATATGCATCTTATATGCCAGAAAAGAAAGCAAAGATAGCAGAAAAAGGCAAAATGTGTTGTACCTGAGAGAAATCACATCCTTATACTTAATTTGATAAGTATATGGATTCTACTACTCATATTTTTAATAGATAACTTATTTTGAAATAACATTGATTGTTCATTAAGAATAGGACAGGAGATAAAATAAAGACCAGAGCATAAAGATGTGATATATTTTAGAAAGATGACCTCAGTGATCCAGGGAGTTAGCTATTAGGCATGATGAAAAGTATCCAATTTTGGAGATAGAAGTCAAATTGCCTCCCTGTCCCATTCATGTATTTCTATGCATTATTGGGTATGTTTATCTCCCCTATTGATTTGCATGCTTCTTGGAACATAGAGGTCACATCATACTCATCTGTATACCTGCAGTAACACTTAGAAGAGTGATTTGTTCAAAAATTTGTGAAGCATATTGTTTGTTACATAAAAACAAATATTTTAAATTTATTAAAGGTAAAAGAGAGGCTCAATTATGATATTTAAAGAACTATATAAAATAGACTCAGCAGATCAATTATTATTGGTATCATTTATAGTATGGTAATCTATTGGTAGATTTATTATATTAAAAAAAAGAAATTCAAGCATAATATCCAGTGAAATTATTCCTGAAGATACTTGCACTCATAATTTTGGTTTACTTTGGTGAGGCAGACATGATTTTTACTTGCTGGTTTTATAATCATGTAAATCAATAGCAATAAAAAATTCCATTTGGAAGTTATAGTTTGTCTGCTTTGGGCTAGTAAAGATCTGAATATCCTGGGTGTCTTATTCAAAATGGTGTTATTAAATGCTATATAGTCAATGTTAATTTTGCTTGTGAAAATGCAAATTTTTAAAAAATAAAACATTAAATTTTCAAATTATAAGTTGGAAATTTAAATCTTCTGCTATAAACTCGAAAGGATACCTTCTTATATGCTGATGACCACATCAGATTATATTATGAGATGAATGGATGTTTAATACTATTGGAGTTGGAAACTTTACCTATTTCTCAATGTTATGGATATAGACCATGTGGAATAGTGAAGAGGTTCAACAACCTTTTAGATATTTATGATGGAGAAAGTAGCTACTATTTCTTATAATCTCATCATGTGCTAAACACCGTGTTAAATGTTTTGTATAAGCATCCATTATCTACTGGATATTTATGCATAGTCTCCAGAGATAATAATTATCATCCACCATTTAATTGTTATGAAACTGAGATTTGAAGACGTACCATGAAGAGCCCAAGGCCAAATGGTAGATCAGGGATTGGATGCCAAGGGTTGTGTTGTTAAGCTTGCTGGGCAAAAGCATGGTTGATGGTTGTTTTCTTCAGAAATAACTAGAAAAATCAGCAAAATATTAGTAATGGAATAGGCAGAAGAATGAGAATTTTAGATGATACAATGCATGGAAATGCTAAGAACAGTTTTTGTTATAAACGCAGAAACCATAGCAAGTATAATAAAAGCACAATATACCTTTGTATCCACTGAAATTGCTAGCACAGTTCCTGTTTTAACATGGAGTATTAAGTACAGAAGTCATCAAGTAAAGAATGTATTTTTTAATGTGAAGTTAAAATCAAAGTAAACCTATTATTACTAATAATATCTGTCAGTCAGATTGGATTTTTTTTTTTAATTTTTAGGTTGAGGCTGATACATGAAGATAAATAGCATTTAAAATTTGTTCAGTGGTGTGGGTTCCTTACAGTGAAGCAAAGAAAACAAAAGTAACATTTTCTAATTTGTATTCATTGAAAACATTCTTTTGTATTTGCTCCTCCAGATATCTAATGAATACTTACATGTTCTTACTGCTTTTATTTTATTTGATGTACTTTGCAGGGACCAACAATTGAAAAGAATATCCAGAATGAAGAAGAAATAAAGGAGGCGTTAGTGTCTACAGTTTCCTGTATTTTTAAACTCTAATGAATGTACACCCTGTAGTTGTAATGTTTTCTGTCATTTAAAAGAAAAAGATAATAAAAAGCACTTTTCTGTGCTTTTAACCATTTGTGACAATATAGTTTGATATTTCTCAATTATCTAACCAACTTCAACATTTAATGTGAAAATTTAAAGTATAAGTTTTCTCATATCATTTGTGGCCCTATTTCTTTGCTGAAAAATAAAATATTGTTAAAATTAACAGACTTTTGTCCTACTTAATAGAATTTTTCAAATCCATGACTTTATAATTATTTAAAAGCAAAGGTTTTTTTGAGAGTATATATTTCCTTGCTAACTGGGAAATACAGCATGAACTACAATAATCAGTGGACATTTATAGGGAGAAGGATTCCATCTTGATCACTGACATTGATCAGTTATAAATGACCTATGGTTTCCATTAGAAAGAGTATTACGAATGAATGTCCCTTACAGGCTTGAGAGGGATGAATCTCAGTAGCAAAAACTACCAATTTATACACATTTCTCAAGAGATTAATGGGGAAGTAGGGTGGGGACTCAGAAACTGTCTCCATACACAGTACCTCAAAAAGGTCTATCTTATGGCAGTTTTAATCAATTATGCTAATACCAAGGGGAAATGTGTAATATTTATAAAAACATTAGAATTAGTGAGAATATCATCTAGGTAAGAAACCAAGAAAAATATCACTTTATTTGAAAACTATACCAATGTTGTTTTTCAAATTGAAGTTCATTCTATAATCTCCTCTATGGGAATATCAACCAGGCTCATAGAATACTACCACTACTACTATTTTTACTACCCTTAATAAAATTATATTATAGCAATCATCTGTTAAGTTTCTATATAACTTCCATATTGAGCAAGCAGAACTCATAGGGTATAATTACAAATAAAGTAATTTTCTCCTACTATTCCCATCTCAAACTCATTCTATGGAACTAGCTCTTTTCCTTCCTCTCTGTAAAACCCACAGAAATTCCCACAGTATTTCTGATCACTCTAAGATGACAAAAGCATTTTTTAAAATTAAGTATTAGTATGTTTTAGTGTTCAATTAACTTTTCACTTAGGTATTAGAAAAATCTCAGCCATTCAAGAGCTGAGTTAAATAGTTTGTAGGAAATTATGTGCAAAGATTATTATCTTTCTAATATCTCTAATTTATAAAAATACTTCCTTTGTTTTCTGTTTCCAATTTAACTTTTCAAAATATCCCTCTATTCAGTTTATTTTACCATAGGCACAGTACTTTATCACCTGTATTGAATTTCATCTACCTGTGACTTATGATGCTATGCCAACACCAAGAGAGCAAAAGTAATTTATCAAACCTAAAACTCAGCCTATGTCACACTGGAGACATCGTTATACATGTGTCACTTTTATCAAAGGTTTGCATTTCATTAGCCTTTTACCATTAAAGTATTGACTCATTTAAAATGCAGTTTTGAGATTTGCTCAACCATGCGAGCGCTCAAAATTTCCACCTGAGAGCACTTTTCAAACCCAAGTGCAGTAAGGTAGAGCTCACATGTAGAAAATGGTGTCGCTGAGCGGAGCAAGCAGAGATTGAACTTCGGGGCTACTGAAGTGACTTGAATAGTTAGGAGCGGATAGTAGAGAGGTAGGAGCTGTGCAAAGAGGACCCTGAGAAGCCTCACTGAGGGTTTCCCATGAGTCACAGACTGAGGATTTGGTGGGTCCTTACCTGAGATTTAAAACAAGAAAACACAACTCCTAACAGAGTGGCTACTCTATAACTAAGATCTAGATGGAGATATGGAAATTATGCAGGGCTGAAAAAAATATATAGTTTAGACCCATCCAGAGTGCAGAAATCTCACTGAGCACTTCAGGCATTCAGTTGAGACATAATAAAACTAGAACTTGGGATCAAAACTATCATGCTATGCCCTAGAATGAGAGTCATGCACTAACACTAAGGAAAAAGAAAATAGGCCCATTCTAAGAAAGCATAAAACTAAGCCTAACAAGATCAAGAGTATTTTAACTGCCTGCCAGAACAAAATGAAACACCACTTAAAGGAAAACAATACAATTCAGCCCCACTCCCTTGTATCAATCACAATAACCAGCATACATTTCAAACTTACTAGACTTGTGAATAAGCAAGAAAATGCTCCCAGTATCAAGGGAGAAAACACAATCAATAAAAACAGACCCAAAAGATGCACAAATGTTGAAATTATTACACAAGGTCCTTAAAACTGCTATTATAATGTCCCAGGTCTTAAAAGTAAAGACAGGCATATGAGTAAACAACTCAGTAACATAAGCAGAGAAATAGACACTATGGAAATAGAAACTGAAATTGAAAGTACGATATCTGAAACAAACAAAAATCATTGTACAGCTGATTGGACATTGAAGAAATAACCACTGATTTTTAAGACAGCTTAAAAGAAATTACCCAATCTGAAAATCATGGTAGGGAAAGATGAAAAACAAAATAAAAGTTCATTAACCTGTGGGAGAATACTAATCAATATCAATATGTGTAATCGGAGTTCAAAAAGAAGAAGGGAAGAAACAAAAGAGAAAATGGGGCACAAAATATTTGAAAAATTAATTATCAAAATTTTCTCAAATATGATGAAAAATACCAACCGTTTAATCTAAGAAACTCAGTGAACGCAAAGCTGGAGAAATTCAAAGAAAATCACATCTAGATGTATCATTGTCAACTGATGAAAACCAAAGATGAAGAGAAAATTATAAAAGCAGCCAGAGAAGAAAGACATTGCATGCAAGAATAATAAGTCTAATGGGTTATTTCTCATCAGAAATAATGGAGCCCAACAGATAATAAATTGATATTTTTAATTGTTGCAAGCAAACCAGATTTCTATATCCAGTGAAAATATTTTTCAGATATACAGGAGGAATAGAGACATTTGCAGATAAACAAAAGCTGAGAGAATTTGTCTCTGGAGATCAGTGCTATAAGAAATGCCAAATAACTTTCTTTAGCACCAAAGGGAAAAGAAACAATATGGAAATATATATCCAGAAGAAGAAATGAATAATACAAAAAAATGATAAATATGAACATAAATATTAAAGCACTGTTTTATTTCTGCTTTTAATTTTTATAAAAGACAAGTTAGTGTTCAAAGCAAAAACAATAACATTTTATTGTGGAGTTTATAATGTATGTAAAAATACAATATATGATGACTGTTACACAATGGATGAGAATAAATGGAATGTATTATAATAAGGTATTTATATTTTATAATAACTGGTATAATATTCATTCTAACCACACTGTAGTAAGTTAAGGATGCATATTGTAAATCTTAGCACAACCATTGGCTAAAAAATTTAAAAAGGAAATAAAATAGATTCCAAAAAATATTCAATGAATACAAAAAATGCAGGAAAAATATAAGTGACAAAAAGCAAACAAATCACAAGATGGTAGACTTAAACCCAACCATATCAAAAAATCAATTAATTAATCATATACAATCAATAAAATCAATCAATCATATCAATTAAATGTAAATAAACTAAACACTTTAACTAAAATCTAAGCTTTTTCAGACTGGATAGAAAAGCAAGTGCATGTTTTCTACAAGAGCTATTCTTTAAAGCAACATTTTACACATATCATGATATGAGTAGGACTCTGTAATGCATTTATATCACAAGAAAGGAGTAATAATCTTATCACATGGGGAATTTAAAATCTAGTCAGGTATTGGATAAGGGAAAGATACCATTTAGAAATACATAAAGCAGTTAAACTAATCAGATTTTTCTGAATGCAAGAAACTGAGTAGATTATGCTGATTAAACAACACTAATTCTCTTCTTTCCCTGATTGTGAATGAGGATGATCCATTCATAGTAAAATTTATTGATCTTCTTATTTTTGGGCTTTGTGTTCTTAGATTATTTCTCTTTAGCAAAAAACTAATTCCTTTTAACTTTATTATTAACTTTCTCCTTTAAAATTTCTGTTTATAAGTTGCCAGATAGTTTTTAGGCATAATCTCTTGTGTTGTCATTAGAATTCTATGACAATATATAATTTAAAGGATGTTTTCAAGTCCTTTCTTATTTGTACTTAAATTGTATTAACTCAGGATTGAGCATTAACAATTGCCTTTTTAAAAATATACTTTATTATTTAGAAGTGTTAGGTTTATAGAAAAATTGATGAGGCAGTACAGAGACTTCCCATATCCCCTGCATCCAGTTTCTCCTATTATTAAGTTCTTACAAGAGTTTTGTTACAGTTAAAGAACCAATATTAATATATTATTATTAAAGCCTGGACTTTATCATATTCCTTAGTTCTCTCCTAATGTTCTCTTTGTGTTCTAGGATCCCATCCAGGACACCATATTATTAATACATTTAGTTGTCATATCTCCTAAGGCTCCTCTTGTCTGTGACAATTTCCCACTTATGTCTCATTTTTAATGACCTTGACAGTTTTGAGGAATATTGGTCAGGTATTTGGTAAATGTCCCTCATTTGAAATTTATCTGATATTTTTCTCACAATTAGATTTATGTTATGAGTTCGGGGGAGAAAGACCACATAGGTGAAGTCCTGTTTTCATCATATGACATCAAGGACACATGCTATCTGTCAATCAACAAGCTGTATCCCTGTGGATGTGGACATTGATCACCTGGCTGAGGAAGTGTACATCAGGTTCTCCAATGTTAAGTTACTCTTTTTACCCTTTCCATAGTGTATTCTTTGGAAAGCAGTCACCACGCATAGCCCACATTTAAGGAGTGGGGAGCTATACTTCCCCTTTCTGTCAGTCTAGATTCTCCAGAGAAACAGACCCAATAGGATATATGTGTGAATTTTTATCTATGCATAAACAAATACAGTCACACAATTTTATACACAAAATACATAATTCCTTAAAATAAATATATATCAAAACGTATACATTTTTATAATATATACAGTAGACCCTTGAACATCACGAGGTTGAACCACACTGGTCCATTTACGTGCAGATTTTTTCAACTAAGCCAGATTGAAAACACAGTACTCACGGGATGTCAAACCCGAGTATACCGAGGGCCACATTTTTCATACACACGGGTTCTACAGGGCTGACTGTGGAACTTGAGATTTTGTATACAAGGAGCGTCCTGGAACAAATCCCTCAGGTATACAGAAAGACAACTGGAGAGGGAGAGAAAACAAGAGAGAAGGAGGAGACTGAGAGAGAAAGAGAGAGATTGATTTTAAGGAGTTGGCTCACAAAGTTGTGATGGCTCACAAGTCCATACCCCATAAAGAAGTCTAGAAGGCTGAAAACTCACACAGGATTTCTACATTACAGTCTAAAGGCAGAATTCTCTCATTTTCAGGTAACCTCAGTTTTTGCTTTTAAGACCTTCAACTGACTGAATGAGGCCCACCCACATTATTGAGGCAAATCTCATTTACTTAAAGTCAAGCTATTGTAAATGTTAATCACATCTATAAAATATCTTCACAGGCACATCTAGACTATTATGTGAGCAAACTACTGGGCATCATAGCCTAGCCAACTTGACGCATCAAATTTAGCCATCATGACCTCCTTGAATGTGTCATATTTATATAAATTATTTAGAATTTTTCTGTATGACAGCTCTGTCTCTTCTCCCCTTCTTATGTATTGATTTAATTATTTATTTTTATCACTATGCACTGAAGAATATTTATTTTATGCTTTGAGGTGTAATCGAATCCTGCTTAGTTTATTTTCTTGTTCAAATTGTTCCAGTTTTGACCATTGAAAACTCTCAATTTCTTCCTGTGTCCCTTTGGCATATGTCTATCATTTATTTTATTTTATTTTTTGAATACTTCCTTACTTTTTGGCATAAGATGCTCCAGGCTTATCTTGTATATATCCTGTCCCAGATCCATAATCAGTCACTTCTCCAAAGAGCTCTTATTCATTTTATTGGAGAATGGCATTAGAAACTAAGATCAGGAAGCTAGATGTACTCATTCCTGGTGGGATGTCATTGCTCTTAGGCCTCCTTAGCTGAGAAAGCAAGAAAGTATGTGTCTGTATACTAACCCATGTACATACACATATCTATAATATTTCTTTATGTAACCATCTGTGTTAAAGATCTGTGTTAAGCTAAACATGAGTTCAGACTGATGTCTCCAACTCTAATTTATTATCAGAAGAATCATTGTAGCTTCCTCCCATTGCTCATCTGTTACTCCCACTCCAACAGCTTATTTTTCTGGCCTGTGAGAGACACCTGGCTCTCACCATCTATTATCAGTTAACATAATTGATCAATTCCAATATATACGTATAGAAGTATCAGAATTGCCAACCCCTTTTCTCATGGGAAAACAATTATATCAACTAGAACAGTTGTCCCCAACCTTTTTGGCAACAGGGACCGGTTTCATAGAGGAGTCAGGCAATGATATGAGCAATGGGGAGGAGCTGTAACAGCTGTAAATTGTAAATACAGATGAAACTTGGCTTCCTTGCCTGCTGCTCACCTCCTGCTATGTTCCTGCCCCCAGTTCCTAAGTTTCATGGAAGACAATTTTTCCACTTAAGGGGGCTGGGAAGGAGACTGAGGAGCTCTGACGCCCAGAAGTTGGGGATCACAGAACTAGAATATAGTAATCACGTGCAGTTCCTTTTGACTTTCTTTAGTCATACATACTCTACACACCTCCAAAGTTACTTAGCCAGCATCTTTTCTCCTCATCTCATTCCCTGAGATTGTTACATACATTTATAATAAAGTTAGATTCTTTTTTCACCACCACATACATTTGGGGTTTCCCCAACATCTTAAATAATTTTTTTTAGTTTTCTTACTTTAAGGTTTACTGTCTGTGCTGTAAAATTCTATGGGTTTTGAAATACATGATGCCATGTAGGCACCATTGAAATATCATGCAGAAGAGTTTCACCACCCTAAAAATCCCCCTGTGCTTTATCTATTCAGTCCTCTCTCCTTTTCCCCAAACTCTCAGCAATGAATGAGTTTTACAGTCTGTATAGTTTTGCATTTTCCAGAATGTTATATAATTGAAATTATACACTTTGTAAACTTTTTAAGCTGGCTGTTTTATCTAGCAATATGTATTTATGTCTTTTCACAGCTTGATAGTTTATTTCCTTTTATGGATAATCAATGTTCCTTGGTATGGATACACCACGGTTAATTTATCCATTCACCTACTGAAGGATATCTTGGTTGCATCCAGTTTGGGGGCAATTATGAAAAAGCTGCTATAAATATTTGCATGCAGGTTTTTGTGTGGACGTAAATTTTCAAATCAGCTGGGTAAACACCTAGGAGTACAATTGCCAGATCATATAGTAAAATTATCTGTGGCTTTGTAAGAAGCCACCAGATTCCCTTCCAAAGTGGACATACTATTTTGTATTCCCACCAGCAACGGATGAGAGTTCCTGTTGCTCTACATCTTCATCAGCATTGTCAGGTCTTCTATTTTTGCTTGTTTGTTTGTGTGTATGTGTGATTATTTTTACATGTAGCCATTTAACAGGTGAGTACAGGTTTTAATTTGCAATTCCCTAATGATAAATGATGCTGAACATCTTTTCATATGAATTCTTGCTATTTGTGTATCTTCTTTGATAAAGTATCTGTTTAGATCTTTGCCCACTTTGTAATTGGGTTGTTTGTTTTCTTATTATTGAATTTTAAAAGTCATTTGTAGAAATTGCTGTTTTAATTTTAACAATATTTTGGCAACTATTAGAGAAACTCAGTAATCACAGCCATTCATTCTCTAATTATAAGTTTGTTTGTTTGCCTTACTGTTGTATATGATGTACCTACCACCAAGAACATTTCAGTAACACTTTTATACATAAAAATAATCATTTGATTGCCAATCAACCAATCATTAAATACCAAACTCCATGACCTCTTAATAGTTTTTTATTTCTTCTCTAGAAAAATACTGTTCAGCCCATAAACTTTTGGCTGACCCAGTACTGCATACTTCTAGCCAATTGCCTTGAAAGAAAAGAAAGTAGAATTATGGTTTGTGTCTGGCAGCAACAATCACAGGAGACTTTTTTTATTACAGAAAAAAAATTCAAGAAAAAGAAATGTTCACAAATGGAGTAAAAGGTTATTCACCAAGTAGCTCTTCAGCCACACATAATCCATATTTTGATGATTTCATATTTTACAAGCCCCCAAATAATACCTTAAAGTGCTCCACTTTTTATCCACATCCTCATAAATCACTCTTGCTTTAAGCTGCTAAAAGTAAAGGAGAAAAATTCTACAGTTCTTTTTCTAAAACTTTGCTTATTTTTCTGGTCTGTGAGAGACTGGGGAAACTTTTCTGGACATCCTTTATAAGACCTAAGAGACAGTATAGCAAAGAGGTTAGGAGTCCAGGTGTTGAGCCAGACTGCTGGGGCTCTCACCAGCTGTGTGGCACTGAAGTAGTAGTACCCTGGAGAAATTTCCTTAACCTTCTTCTATCCCAGTTTCCTCATCTCTAAAATGTAGATGATAATGATATCTACTTCATGAAGCTGATAGGGGAATTAAATTAATTAACACCTTGTCATAAGAAGAGAGTAACACTCAATATCTGAAATTAAAAAAGCTGAATGTATACTGTTATCCTGAAGTCTGTAAGGGCTATGCTGGTCAGGCATAGGTTCATTGAACAAACAAACTGCTGAGAAATGCTTGATTTGAGGATATCTTAGTTACAGAGGCAGGAGTTATCGCCATTTGTCTTGGAAGTGTGGTTTGTGTTGTAAGCGTGGCTTAATGTCAGTGTCAGCTTTAGGTGTGTAGTCACTGGACTGAGTCCACCACTGATTGGCCACCTTTGAGAGCATGAGGCTCTCACTGGTTGGCTGGTTTTCAGAGATGTGTTGAATGAAACAAACCGCCATCTATTGATTAAATACGTGTAAAACCAGTTCTGATACTTACTTATTATCATGGTTAAACTGTTTCTTTCCTACAAGCTTGAGGAATTATTTGTTTTTTTAATTTAGATGCTGTACACGTTGTAAGCACTCCGTGAACATTAGCTGCCATTATGTAGGAATTTAAACTTGATTTTGGTGAATGGTCAATGGTTGGGGATAACACATCTTTAGCATATGTTTGTTTCCAGGTCACAAATTTCTAATTACCTAAGGTAGAGCATGAAGAATTTAAGAATCTGACTTCTGGCCTCTTCCATCGTTTTGGTAAGAACAGTAGCCCTGTACATTTATATGGCTACTATTTTCATGCAGGAAGGCATGGCTGTGCAAATGAATGGGCAGGAAGCAAGGTGAAAAATTGGCATAAGTTAGTAGCTTCATGGATTAGAACATGTGACATACTGTGTTTATTTGATATCTTCTACATGTACTTTATGTGAAAGCAGAGATGTGATTTCCTTTGGAGAGTCTCCAGGCACACTATGCTCACTCTAAACATCTCTAAAGGAAAGTACTCTGTGAAGCCAGAACCTAAGCTAGAGCTACAGATCAGATATCACGGCCAAAGGTATTGTCTTTATATAGTCCCTGCAATTGTATATGTAAACTTCATTCTATACATCAGGTACAAATTGAGTCTTTCTTTTTCTTCTTTGTTTATAATTTTGCAAGAATACTTAATATCAATACAACTCTGTGGAATACAAAAGAAAGAACAGGGAAGAGGGGCATTTACTAAATAGCATCATAGCCCAATTTCCTTATGCAAATAGAACATTATTTTTCTTCTTGTTCTTATATTGTACTCAAATATTAAAATGCACTCTATGAATCTCTTTCAATAGCTTTTCACCAGTCATCTAATAATCACTAAAATGCACATTGTTATTTCCATGTTAAAGATAGTAAGAAAGTTAAGGTCATATGTCTAATGTTGATCTTCTAATAAATTACATAAATATGAGGAGAGTCCACTTTTTTTCTCTTAATATAAGGAAACCAACACATTTTGGGGTTTTTTTTTTACCCCTTTGGAAAAATATTCACAAGGAATTTCCTTGAAAAACTAATCAGGGCTTCCATATTGTTTTGCACAATAAGCTATGTATAAAATTACAACTTGATATCACGAGTTGTTAGCCAGCCAAAAATAATTCAATGAGAGGGAGGGAGAGAGATTGAGACAGAGAAGAGAGAGAGAAATGGCTTGACTCTGCAATATAAGACAATTCTAAATCATTTTTCCCATTAACATATGTGTATGTAGTGAGTGATAATGAATGTCTAAGGTGATGAAACATAACTATGATGCAGTGAGGTGTTGTCAAGATTTTTTTTTTTAATTTCCAATTAGTGTTTGGAGAGCTTTCACTACAATGTCATCAGCTACAGGCCTATGTGAAGGCATTTTCACTGCTGACGAAACCAGAAAAATATCATGTCTTTCCAAGACTTATAAAAAGTGAGAAATGTAATGTTGCACAGAGACTTTTTCAGGATGGTAAATGACATTTTAAAAAACTTCACTTTTGTTCCATTGACTTTGCATTAACCCTCATAGGTCATTACTGTTGCTTATCAACAAGATGATACTTAATGAAAGAAAAAATATTTTTCTGTCCTAAATTTAAAACTTTAGTTTTGTTATTAATTTAGATTTTGCTGATTTTATAGATTAATGTTAGCTTGCCCCTAACGAGGACAGACAATATGAGGAGTTGGTGTCTAATAGGTTAAGAAGAATTGTTTTGATTTCAGGAGAAGCTAGATCTTATGGCTGTGTTTCTATGGTTCAAAAGCTTGCCTAGACAGATGTTGGACATTCCCCAGGTGTAGATACTGATTAGATTTCTAGAAAGAAAACAAAAGCAAAATATCTTTTATAAACCAAGGGAACAATGATACAACTATGTCTATATCACTTTTTCCCCTTAATGTATAATATATAATCAAATATAATAAAAATGATTTTGAAGAAAGGCCAATAGTTTGGCAAATAATTTTATTTTAATATTATTTCAAAAGTTATCTTTTAATTGGCAGCCTGCAGTAAGACACTAGGGTTTTTTAAATTTTTAATTATTTATTTATTTTGAGACAGTGTCTCACTCTGTCTCAGCTAGAGTGCCGTGGCGTCAGCCTAGTTCACAGCAACCTCACACTCCTGGGCTCAAGCAATTCTTCTGCCTCAGCCTCCCGAGTAGCTGGGACTACAGGCATGTGCCACCATGCCTGGTATATATTTTTAGTTGTCTGGCTAATTTATTTCTATTTTTAATAGATATGGGGTCTCACTCTGGCTCCGGCTGGTCCCAAACTCCTGAGCTCTAACGATCCTCCTGCCTCGGCCTCCCAGAGTGCTAGGATTACAGGCATGAGCCACTGTGCCTGGCCTGGGCTTTATTTCTTAATCTAAATGTCTGAATTCTACCTTCTAACCTTATTCCAATCTCTATTCCCTTTGCTACATTACTTAGCTAAATGCTGAATACTTAAACAGTTTGTCATACTTCAGGAATAAGATATGATTTTATATTCAATTGGAAAAAGTTAGTGAAAAATACGGACCTTATTAGAATTTTATATGATATTAAAGGGCATATTCAAACCTTTTGACCAGCAAGTATATATTAATGTTTAAATGTACTTAGCACCAAAATTCATGTGATACACAATCACTTATTTCTCCATGCATATACAATAGAGAGCAAGAACACACATATAGAGATACAGTTCAGCAATAAAGTAAGGCAATACATCCTTAATCACCAAAAAGAGAGATAAATAACTCTTAAATGCACTATCATTTCTTTAAGGAGTCTATAAAGGAACCAAAGTATAACAGGAAGGAAAGTGAAGGAGCTCAAATCATGGATTTGCCTCTGACTAGTCAACCTTTCTGGAACTCAATTTCTTCACGTTGTACCATGCAGAGGCACATGTACAACAAAGGGAGAGATCCCTTTCAACTTTAAAAAGGTAGATCCATTGGAACAGGAAGATCTGGATAAGCTTTGTAAAGGAATTAGGATTTCAGCTGGTTCGTGAAAGTTAGGAAAGATTTGATCAGGGAGAAAGAATAGCAGGAAACAGAGACACTAAGAGCAAAATCTGGAAATCACAGTAGAAGATGCCATGGTCAGCAGACAGTGATAAGCTTGGCTAGAATGAAAATGAGGTGGATTGATAGAGAAAGGCTAAAATATGGAAGAAAGGCCATGCTGTGAATTTGAACTTTTTCTGTAGGATGTACACAAACATTGGAGATTTTTGAGCAGGGCAGTGATAAAATCTCTATTTTAGAACTATTAATCATATATAATGGGTTGGTTAGAGGGAGAAAAAGACCAGGAGATAAATGAAAGGATGATTTCCTTTGTCTGAATATAAAAACCCAGACTAGGATGAGAGAAAAGGGAGCGGACATCAGAAAATATTTAAAGAAAGCATGGACACGGTCTGGTGACTGATTAGGAGGTGCTGAAAGAGAAGGAAGAATCAGGAATGCCTCCACGTTTTTTATTTTAGGTACATGAAAGAAGGGTGATGGCACTAAGGAAATGGGGAAAATTAGTATGAGGAGTCAGGGAATGGTGATCAAAAGACCAGGAATCTTCATTTAGCTAAAAGTCTCTGTCCCTATGTAATGTATCATTTTAAGAAGTGGGTTGGAAAAGATTAAGCTATATTAGTAAGGGGTTAATTATGGAAATTCTGAGGAGTCTTGGCAGAGGTGCAAGGACAATCAAGGAATTGTAATATCTTTAGCAAATTTCTGCTTACATGTTTGAAAGAGGTCCTTACGTCTTTCCTTGAACCATGGGAAGAGATATTTTTTCAGTACCAAATTGCTTTTGGCAACAATTACACTGATAAATTTCATTAATTTATTCATTCTTTCATAAGCATTTTGACTGCAAAAAAATCTCAAGTTAAAACTTGGCTCATAGCTAACTACTTACTCCATATAGCATATATTTTGTTAAGCTAAAATAAATCTACATAATTAAGTTTACTAGCAACTTGTGCCATTATATTTTGTCAAAACCAAGAGGTGACATGCAATTAAACTTACTTGGCTTTGTAACTTTTCCTGTTAAGATGGGTCTTTTAAACATGGCACTGGCAACTCTTCTCAGAAGCAGGATTTTGATCTTGTGGGAGCAAATACATACTTGAGAAAATGATATTTGTTAGCACAGAATCTTATTACTTTGTCTTAATGAGAGTCAGTATTTGCTGAATAGAATTTACTCAATATATGAACATGAATGCAAGTATGCTCTCTACTTATGACAGCTAAATGGTCCCCCTACCCAAGAAGGTGTTTTATCTAGAGATCTTATCAGCATAAATAAACTAAATGTTTATACCTATAATACAGTTATTATTTCAAATTTTCACATGGATGACACAAAATGTAAAAGGGATAGCAATATTTCTATAGGAAAGTGAGTATTCTGTCAAGACTAGGTCTTGTGACCTCCTTGTATGTATTTTGATTTTGAAAAACACAAAATATATAATGAGTGCTTAACATTTAATTTACGAATTAAAAAGTTCTAAGATTTGCTGTTTTGGCACTAAAGTCTTTTTATATCCAGGGCCAAGTATTGAGTAGATAATAGGTAAGTAGGTACCAAATAAATATTTTTGAATAAATGAATAAATGAACATAATTTTCTCCCAAGGTTAATCTTCCTATCCTAACTGTTGTGTAATGAGTACCTTAGCCTAAGAGACTGATTCTAATAGTGAAAATATTTGTGGCAGGATAGTAAGACTCTTGGTAGTTGTTATTTTCACTTTTATGAAGGTTGATGTTTGAATATAGAATCTAGAATCAACCTAGATTGATTCAAATCTAGGGGTTTATTTCCGGGGTTCAACAGATAAAAATACAAATGTACCTGGAGGTTGACCAGGGAGGGGTGATGCTGCCCTGGCCTGAGAGTGGACACGACGGAGAAGCCCAGTTCCCAGTCCCGGGCCACCCTGCCCTCTCCACTGACCTTCACCTTGGTCCCCTGTCAACCTCCTCCCCCAACCTGCACCCTCATCTCCCCACCTGCACCCTCATCCCTGACCTGTACCCTCATCAAAACATCAAAACATCCCTGCAAAGGCCACCATTTCCCAAACTTTTCCATATTGCCCATCTATGACGAAACATTGATAAAATAGCTAAAACTAAAATGTGGGACAAATCTTACCTAGTTCTGCTTCCTATTGCCTATCTGCTAACTGGTTTCAACCTACTGAGAATGAAACTCCAACAATATTACTAGTGCATTTGGGGTCCCAGAACAAGCTCCAACATGCAAAACTAATGAGAACATGGTACAATGCTTGAGTGGGTAGAAAGAGTAGGAGTAAATGTGTTTTATTCACAGGAGGGCCTGAAACCTCCAAGGAGAAATGGAGAATATATCCACTGAAACTTACTTGCAGGCTGCTGAGTTGTTGAGGAATGATGGCCACTCACTAGCCTTCCAGGCCATAATATAAATGAGGAAAGAAATTATTCTGAAGAGAGAGTCAAAGTATCTAGGATTAGTGTTAGGTGACAGAGGAGATAGAGAATTTTAAAGGTAGCATACTAGAGTTCATTCATATTTGCCCTCTGGCACAAATCTTTAGGGTCTATTACCAAGTTCCCAACTCAGGGGAAGGAAGGACTGTAATGAGCTGAAAAAGCCACACCTCCAGATGTACAGCAAAATAATGGCTGCCAGAAATTAACTGCTTCCACCCAGGAGATGTGTAGGACAATCTGTTGGAATGAAAAAAGGTGTATTAAAAATTCTATTTATACTTTTTATATAAAATTTGAAAGACATTATTTTAATAATATTTATTATTATTATTATGGACACTATCACCCATACTCAGGCCATATGTCACCAGTCTCATATCAAATACAACATGCCAAGTAGCCAAACATTTGTTAACTTTCAGCATATTGTGATTTACTGTATTTTAAAGTGATTTATAGGTTATATTGCCTTCTATAATGGATGTTCACAATTATTTGATATAAGGGGGGAGTGTACATGAAAATCTTTTCTACTATGTCTATATATACTATAGTTATCTTGAGACAATGTATTTAAAAGAGTTGTCCCAATTAAAAGCTGTTTTATATGCTTAGCTGAATTGTTTTATCCATATCCATCTATCTTCATCAATCTATCTACAACTATTCACCTATTCAACCATCTATCTGTGAAGGTATATTCTGAAAAATGGACATACCCAAAATGTTTGAATACCAATGGTAAAGAAAACAAACATAACAAGCTTTTTCCATCTTGTAACCTCATCTTGTCCTTTCAAACAAATTGGTGGAACACATTTTCTCTACTTCAGAATGGTGGCAGTGTCCACTGGCAGAAGATAATATATTAATACAGAGGAAGCAATATCTTCCTCCAAGAAACGTAACAGCAATTAAAGGGCCTAGAAACCATGTGCTGAGTGTGGGTTGAGAAATGTAAGACATTTCACAGATAAGACAGTGAGGATGCATGTGCTACCTAAATTTATAATTATTTCATCCATCCATTCCTTAATCAACTCACCCCAAAAGTACACATTTTCTTAGGCCCTGGAATGTGAAAATGAAGATGATACATCCCTACCTTCAAGATGTTTAAGTTCAATGAAGTCCATTCATCTTAATAAAATTATTTTATAATATCAGAATACGTACATCACTTTAAAACCAAAATTAAAAGGTGAAAATAAAGAAGTGAGCATTCAGTTTGCCTTTTCCCTTTAAAGAAATATTGTATGCATACAAAATGTGCTATTTTTTAAAGTATAAACAGAAACCTGAAACCTTCTCTCTTATCATTCAGAAAACAAAAATTGAAATTAAATAAAAGTAAATCATATAAATACTATACAAATATTTAAGTTGAAGTAAAACATTTAAATTTATATAAAATAATGAAATTATATAAATACATTTTTAAGCATAAATACAAAAACACCAAAAATCAGTTCATAAAAGCAATTGCTACCTATGTTTAATATAAATACATAGTTAAATTCCAATACACATTTAATATACTCTTGATCTTCAAACCAATATTTTAAAATGTATTTGCTGATAAGTCATGCTTTTCCCAGCAAATTTATCTAAAGTAAATGAAACAACCATGCTTGACATTTAATGGAAAAGAGAAATCAAAATATCTTTATACGTTTTTAATATTATTACAGTGTATTAAAATACACTTTATAATGGAATCTTTCAAAGATACTGATCTGACTTAAATATTTTAAACTCACTTCTTTGTCATACATTGAAAAAATTAGGGGATGGTTTAAACATTCATGAGCAATAGCAAAAGCTAATGTAGGTAAAAGAAAGAAAAGAGGGAGGAAGGGAAGGAGGAAGAAAAGGGAGAAAGAGAGGAAGAGAAGAGGGAGAGAAAGAGAGACAGAGATGAAAAACAAAAGAAGGAAGGAGAGAAACACTAATGCATTAGGGAAGAATACCTGAATTTTTAATGTTTATTGAGCACATTCTAAGAGGCAAGCTCTACATTAGACCTTCACATAACAGTGGTTCTATATTTATGTCAAAGGTAGTCAAACTTTTTCTGTAAAGGGCCAGATGGTAAATCCTTTAGGTTGAGAAGTCACATGGTGGCCCACCTATTCGATCTGCCACCGTAGTACAAAAGCAGTCATAAACAATTTGTAAACAAATGAACGTGGCTGTGTTACAATAAAACTTTATTAGTAGACACTGAAATTTCAATTTATCATACCACAAAATATTCTTCTTTTGATTTTTATTCAACCATTTAATAATGTAAAAGTCCATCTTCGCTGGCTGATCACACACAAACAGGCATCAGGCCAGATTTGGCCTCCAGACCACATGCACCACCTCTTCCCAACGTTGTATTTGCCACTGAGATCAAGGTATTTCTAAATTGTCCTGTGAGAGGGAATGAGGCTAGCTTTCTAGAAATTTGTTTGCATAAGGTATTGAGAAATCTCATCAGAGGGAATCTTTTCCAAGGGGGAAAAAAAAAAAAGTAAAAATAATTGGACAGACGAGCTTGGTCTAAGGGCGGAGGGGGAATTTCAATTTCAACATGATATTTTTTCACATAGTGTTGCTTCATAGGGCAACCTCCGTGAACTTGCATCTAAATTCTCATGAAGGGCTTAAGTCTAAATGTTTTAAAGAGCTTTGCTTTTCTCAAAGAATTCTGTAAGGCATCAAAATAGAAGCAGCACTGTTCCACTGTCTAAGAGGATTATACAAAAATGTGAAAGCAACATTCTCCTCCATTTGCCGCCACACGCCTGTAAGCTTTGGCACTTTTAGGACCTAGAGGAGCTGTGACATGGAAGTGGCCCAGCAAAGGCAGCAGGGCACAGTGGGTAGGGTGCAGAACGAGGGAGGAGGTGGCAGAATAAGAGATGACAAACTAAAGGAAAGATCTTTCCTATTGCCAGAGATGACAGAGATGACTGTGCTGTCATCCAAATACATGTGGAGACCCCTAAAGAGGAGGAAGAGGAGGCCTTCCCTGGAAGGTGAGGACAGGAGGCCCTGGGGTACTGATGGGCAACTCACTACCATGGTTGCCAGATAGGGCACTAAAAGAGATGAGTAAGATGCCTCAAAACATGGCTATTACTATCAAAATAATCCCATTTTTAACCCAAGCTTACCTAAGGAAACTTGGGGTTTCATATTTAATACAATCTTTACAATAATCATGTGAGTGTATCATGTGAATAATCAGTGAATTAATCATGTGATTAATCATGTGAATAATTCACATGATTAATTAATCATGTGAATTAATCATGTGAATAATCAGTGTTTCATCTTTTATTCCTCTTTTTGGCTCTAACCTAATTCTCATAGAAAGTAGGCCTCGTGGCAATGGCAGCAGGCATGAAGGGAATGCCTTCTGCTATTGTCTGTTTTGTTCACACCTTGCCCTGGTATTATTTTTGCAGAGACTTTCTTGTGTGGAAACTGAGTGTATCTGCTCCAAAAATATGTTTGTGATGTTGGGGTTTTGTTTCAGTTTTTGTTCTGCTCGTTTTGTTTACCTAGTTTAGTTGAGAAAGTGATAAACTAAAAATCTTAAATAAATGATTGAAGTCCTAGTTAATATAGGAAAAACCATTTTCAAGATTGATCTTAATCTTCCTATAGATATTACTAAAATATGGGTTGATAACTGAGCATTTACAGCTCAGTACTTACCCTCATCAATAAAAAAATATTTCTAAACACATTAATAATTTCATTTTATAATTCCTTTTTGGAATTGATTTCCATTGGATCATCATCTCACATGACCTAGCAAGATAGAATGTAACACTGCCATCTTTGAAGCTGCCAAGGGGTGGCCCTTATGAACACAGCAAGAAGAAAATTTTCAGAAAATCAGTTTTAAAAATTATTAAAGACATCAAAATAATTCAGAAGTGTGTCTTTGTTTTCCAATGCTGTAAGTGAATACAGTTGACCCTTGAACAACATAGGTTTGAACTGCATGGAATTCACTTATATGTGGATTTTTTCATTAATATATTGGAAAATTTATTGAATATCTGTGACAATTTGAAAAAAAAATCACAGATGAACCACATAACCTAGAAATATCAAAAGAAAACATTAAGTTAGGTATGTCATGAATGCATAAAATATACATAGATACTAATCTATGTCATCATTTACTACCATAAAATATATACAAATAAGTGGTATTATAAAAAGTTAAAATTTATCAAAACATAGGCACACAAATACAGATGGTACATGGCACTATTCGCAGTTGAGATGTAAACAAATGTACAGATGCAGTATTAAATCATAACTGCATAAAATTTAACTGTAGTACATACTGTACTACTGTAATAATTTCATAGCCACCTCCTGTTGCTATTATGGTGAGATCAAGTGTTTTGAATGTTCCCTTAGAACACCATGTAATGCTGATCATCTCATCTCTCCTGTAAATTGTGAATCACAGTAAAAAGTATCTGTCCTGATTCTTGTGTATTTTTCATCGTGTTTGGTACAATGCAATATATTTTGAATAACACCATGGGACCCACACCAAGTGCCACTAGTGATGCTGGAAGGGCTCCCAAGAAGCAGAGAAAAGTCATGACATCACAAGAAAAAGTTGAATTGCTTGATATGTGCTATAGATTGAGGTCTGCAGCTGCAGTCACTCACCACTTCAGACACAGGCAGAACTTTCTAATAGTGGTGTAGTGAGAAGTTCCTATCATGCCTGAGTCATTGATCAAACCCTCATTGCTCTACATTTTATAGCAATCTTCACTGTTGTTGCTATTGTTACAGTAATGACATCTTTGCCCATCACACTTGATTCTTAGGTTTTTATGCAACTTTCTAAAAATGTCAAAATAGGAAAGAAGGATGGAAAAAATGTGAAAGGAAGGAAAGAAGAAAGGAAGGAAGGAAGGAAGGAAGGAAGGAAGGAAGGAAGGAAGGAAGGAAGGAAGGGAGGGAGGGAGGGAGGGAGGGAGGGAGGAGGTGGGTTTTACAACAAATCCATTTTGCCAATAAAGGAGTCAATTTATGTTCATAGATTCTAGTCTGGCGGCCATTAAGATCGATCAGTATTTTCTTTCCAGCAAGCACCAATGTGATACCCTCAAACTCTCCGAAATTGTGGTTAACACACACAATCACGGGATTACAAACCTCTTCATCCATAACAAATTTTCAATCAAAAAACACACCTAACTTATTAA